ACGGGACAAGTGTTAGTGTGTCACTTGTGTTTGCCTCTTCTTGAGGTTGTTCTCTCGATATTTAGTACTCTCTTTTTATTATAGTGGATTGCTTATCTTCGTTGTGGGCGTAGGTCAGTTGACTGAACCACGTTAAATGTTTGTGTCTCTTTTGGTATATTTCTCTTGTTGTATGATTTATCGTCGTTCAAGATTTGCTTTGCTAGATTCCGCATGATACCTGTTTTTTTCGGTCCTAACAAGTATAATAGTCCTTTATCATGTAGTAGAAGCATCAATACCAAAGTAGTTGTTACTTAGAACGACACAGGTAATATCAAGATCACCAATAAGTTGATGTAAAGCCAATACATAGAGTAATGCTTGATGATTGTTTTTTAAGCACTGTTGTGTGATTTGTGTGGCTTATCATATCTGTACTCATAATGAATGATAGGATAAATTTTTTGAAATTTTGCTGTTGTGCTTGTTCATCTTTTTAGGCTATGGTGACTAGATATTCAGCCATCTCAACAAGAAAGCTAACAAATGCACTGAAAATCCTAACTTGTGACAAGAGTATAGTTGCAATAAGTGATTATGATGAGTTTCACAAGACAGTGAAGCGACACGTACTGACCAATGTTCTAGGACCAAATGCCCAGGTTTGTCATTTAGAAATTGGCCTCCACATTTCATTATTTTGCATTATCATTTGGTTCTCTTCTTTTGATTCGTATACTAGATTTCTAACGGGAAGTTCCGCTTAATATGCAGAAACGCCACCGTATCCACAGGGACACTTTGATAGAAAATGTGTCTAAGCAACTGCATGATTTGGTTAGGAAGTATCCTCATGAAGCAGTAAATCTCAGGAAGATATTCCAGTCAGAACTTTTTGGTTTGGCAATGAAACAAGTGAGTTTTTCAAACTCGGTTTCACTACTAATTTGTGGTTTTGGCAATTCTTTTAATCTGCTCAATTATTTGAAACTTTTAACTTTATTTGCAGGCTTTGGGAAAGGATATCGAGTCTATTTATGTGGAGGAACTCGATGCCACATTGCCAAGAGAGGACGTACTGAAGACCCTAGTACTTGATATAATGGAGGGTGCGATTGATGTGGACTGGAGAGATTTCTTCCCCTATCTAAAATGGGTTCCTAATAAAAGCTTTGAGAACAGAATTCAGCGAAAACATCTGCGCAGGGAAGCCGTGATGAAGGCCCTAATTATGGAGCAACGAAAACGTATTAATTCAGGAGAGGTGATCTTGCTCTTCCTTTTAAGCATATAAATATACCACTCCANGAGAGGTAATCTTGCTCTTCCCTTTAAGCATATAAATATACCACTCCAGTAATTATGTTTTGGTTCTTGGCTAATTTTCTAACTCAATATATACAGAAACTGAACAGTTATATTGACTACTTGTCGTCTGAAGCCAATACATTAACAGAGAAGCAAATCCTAATGTTGCTTTGGGAGGCAATTATTGAAACATCAGACACCACAGTGGTGAGCACAGAATGGGCCATGTATGAATTGGCCAAAGATCCCAAACGGCAGGTAGTATCATAATCTTGCATTTTTTAAACTCGGCCTGGTTTTTCTTCAGAGTTAGTTGCATCTCATGACAGTTAATCACATAGGAACAACTCTTTTTGGAAATACAAAATGTTTGTGGATCTAACAAGATCACAGAAGAGAAACTTTGCCAACTTCCATACCTATGTGCTGTTTTTCACGAAACCTTGAGAAAGCATAGTCCCGTACCTATAGTTCCTCTAAGATACGTCCACGAAGACACACAGCTTGGAGGGTACCATATTCCTAAAGGAGCTGAGGTAATTAGCCTTTTACCACATTTTTCTAAGTTTGCTTTCTTATCAGCTAATATAAATTACTTGTCTGTATACATTGTATATACAGATCGCTATAAATATATACGGTTGCAATAGGGACAAGAAAGTGTGGGAGAGTCCTGAAGAATGGAAGCCTGAGAGATTTCTTGATGGAAAGTATGATCCAGTGGAATTACAGAAGACGATGGCGTTTGGAGGTGGAAAAAGGGTATGTGCTGGTGCTCTTCAAGCAATGACAATTACTTGCACAACTATTGCTAGATTGATACAAGAGTTTGAATGGAGCCTTAAAGATGGAGAAGAAGAAAATGTTGCAACAATGGGTCTTACTACTCATAAACTTCATCCAATGCAAGCTCATATCAAGCCAAGAAAATGATGCCTTAAGATTTTCAACTGTCAACTCTGTAATAAGGAGCTAGTTTGTGTTTGATAGATCTTGTTATCAGTTACTTATCAATGCAGACCGCTTGCTTTAACTTCTCTAATTCCAGCTTATTCCAATTAAATCCACTATGATAATAATATTAGAGTTGCAGAGGTGAGTCTTATGGATAGAAAATGATCAAAATGATCCTATATGCATAAGCGGTTGAACTATTTTGGTCCTTAATATATACTGCTAAACATAACTAGTCCTTAAGCCAAAAATAGTCACTTCTGATCTTAAACCATAAAACTAACGGTTCCCATAAGAAATCCTGTTAAACTTTAACGGTTATAAGGTTTTGAGCTAGTGGTAAGACCGCAACATATAAATGCTTAGTATTTAAGTGGAGAAGGATAGAGGCACGCTTAGTATTTAGTATGAATTCACTTTCTTTCTTTCTTTTTGAGATTTTGCCGCATGTTGATGGCCGGAGAGTTTATGGACTCTGTCTTAAAATGGCTTTTTTATCACCTGTATTCGCTTTTTGGTTGTCGTTTTAAATATAATTAGTATTTGTAAAGTAATTGAAAAATAACTCAATTTAAAAAGAAACAGAGTTTTCTTTTAATTGTTTCAACTTAATTAGGATAAATCTCCATATATCTCAAGATCAATAGTTAAACAACCATATAATGAAAAGTATTGCATAAAATAGGGATATCCAGAGTAATTTAGAGGAATTAATTGATTTTCAAATATAGGGGTAATGAATATATGTGTACCTAGGATTTTCACTAGAATAGAGGGTTTAAGCTTACAATATATACTTATTATCTCTACAAAATGGGAAAAAAATTTGGCAGCAAAGATTGAATGCTCCAGAAAACAAATCATATACGTATATTCTTACACAAATAAGGCAATAGAAAAAGGTGAGGCAGTGGACTGAAGTCACTCCTTTCCAAATGGTTTCAACAGGTGAAAGCGACAATCACAAGTCAGAGTGAGTTGAGATCACATCAGATGAGTGATGAGTTATACTATTTCTGGGATTAATTAAGCAAGAGGGACAGGCCTCATGCTTACCGGGTTTAATTTGTTTAGCATATCTCTGTGTGTAATTCTGAAACAAAGGCAGGCTAAAATTGTAAGAAAACTATAATGAAAACAAAAAACAAATGTCAGACCAATGTTTGCACCATTTGCTGATTTGGTCTTGCTGTATTTTCTTCGCTCCTGCATTAAACATAGGACTAGCAATGAGTCACCATAATCTCTCTCTCTATATACGCTTTTGATACATGTTTAGTACTCCGATTTTATGTATGTGTCTTGATTTGATTCAACATGAAATTTACTTTAAAAATATAAAGAACTTTTTTGAATTTTATACTCTTAAACCAAGGTGTGTAAAACATATTAAAAAAATACTTTTTGGATCTTATGTTCTTAGACATGTTATGACATTCTTTTCTTATAAGGGAGTAGTGTTAAAATGATAAGATGGAAACGCAAAAATTAAGAACTTACAAAATATAGAAATTTAATTTTTTTAAACGATGTGTTTACCCTCAAAATCGGATAACAATTAAATTTGTAAGTGATTTTAAGGATATGCAGATTAATTTGATACAAAACGATAAATTGAGTTAAAATGGACAAGTAAAGATACAATAATTCAAACCACGCGAGGAGGATGATTCCAGCCTTGGTGAAGCATTCACTCTCGATCCGAGCTCACAGTGGACAATTTTGATGAACGAGATAAAAAGCTTACAATAACAGTGAAGATAATGGTATATTGCTTTGGAATGCATGTTACAATGTGTTTAATGAATTATCAGACCCCGCTTTATATAGTAGGGGAATCCTACTCTAAGTACAACTCTATAAAAGGTAAAAAATCTTATGTTTAACCGATTGCCGGTTCTTCATTAATATGTGCCGAGATCCACGCCGTGATATTCGGCCGGTCGCGGATGTTACGGCCTTCTGTTGGTCGTGCTTGGTTGCCTGGCAATATCCTCCGAAGTTTTTCAAGATTTGGATCGATCCCGAATCATGACCCCGATATTCTCGAAGGCACACAACGTGCCCCCGGATTCTGGCTCGATGAGACCTTTGCTTCGATTCTGATCCCTCACAATCATATCTCGAGCTTGTTTTACCCTATTGGAGGCCGAAGTGTATCATGAGCTCGGTTTTTACCTGTATACAGATAGTCCCCTCGTTTCTCGGAAAGCAAGCTGACGAGAAACGACACGAGCATCCTGATTCTTTCTTCAGTACACCGTGACATAAATGACAAAAAACCTGAAATGTCTCGTAAGTCATGTCATAATGGCATTAAATACATGTCAGCTGTCGGTCGCCTGTCCTTGGACGCGAAACGCCGCGGAACCATTATAAATAACCCCTCTTTCGTTCATTTTTTTTACTTTACATTAAACCGTCTACCCTTGTGCCCTCGGATTTCACTACTCCTTTTCACATTCTAGAATTTTTACCTCCGTTATTCGAGATTCCTTTGAAATTTTTACTCATCATCTACACAAGCCAACACATCTGAGCTTCCAGCTTTCAACCTTTTCCTATCTCTTTCAAGTTTTCCCTTAGAACAATGGCAAAAATATCAAAATCTGTTCCCCAAAAGGTCGCTTCTACTTCCCGAACGACTGTCGAAACTATTTTCGATGTGGTCGACCTCAGGAGACTTGCTGCTAATATGGATATCGATGAACCGGCTCCTGAACCTCCCTTGAAGATGTTCATTCCCAGAGGTTGTTCGATCGCTGACGACTTCAAGGTCGAGAAGCCTTCTTCGGTACAAGGTCGACGTGAGTGTAACAACCCAACCAGTCGCTTTGAGCATTTACATCCCGTTCAATTATTTAAAGTATTGAGTAGCTTCATATGATGTATTATGACCAGTGTGAATTGTCGGCTTTGGTTTTCGGATGATTCGGGATTAAATTGAAAGATCAATCCTTGTTTAGAAGCTTAAATGAAAAGAGCTAGCCGAAGTTTGACTTTTATGCAAACGACTACGGAATGGAGTTTTGATGGTTCAAATAGCTCTGTATAGTAATTTTAAACTTAGGAGTGTGTCCGGATATTTATTTGGAAGTCCGTAGTTGATTTTGGCTTGAAATGGCGAAAGTTAGAAATCGAAGGTTTGAAAGTTTAACCGGGAGTTGACTTTTTGATATCGGGGTTGGAATTCGATTTTGAAAATTTGAATAGGTCTGTTATGTCATTTATGACTTGTGTGCAAAATTTGAAGTCAATCGTACTTGATTTGATAGGTTTCAGCATTAAATATGGAAGTTGAAATTTGATAGTTTCATTTAAGCTTGAATTGGGGTGTGATTCGTATTTTTAGTGTTGTTTGATATAATTTGAGGTAAGTTCGTATGATATTTTAGAACTTTTTGGTATATTTAATTGAGGTCCCGAGAGCCTCGGGTGGATTTCGGATGGTTAACGAAATTTAGTTTGGATATTTCTAGAATGTTTCGATGTCGTTTCTTCAAGTATAAGTGGTGAAACATTAAGCAAATGAACTCCAAATTCATTTTTGATTAAAGTATTAGATCCGTATTAAAATTACGGAGCCATAACAAAAAGAATCGTCGAATTCGGACATCGTATGAGAGAGTTATGCACATTTTCGGGAGAAACAAAAAAGATTCCCCATCACCAGCGCCGAGGGTAGAAGTGGCCGCTAGCCCTAGCGCTGGGATTTTTGAGGTTCTGGAAACTGGGCAACAGGTAGCGCTCCACACTACCTGTGACGCTCAAACATTAATCCCTATAAATGGGGGATTTTGCCATTTTTGACATAAACAGAGTTGGGGAGCTCAGTTTGGGCGATTTGCAGAGGAAAATTTCACCACACAACTTGGGGCAAGTGTTCTTGACTCCCTTGTGATCATATTTCATGAATTAATCTTCGTTTTCGGCGTTAGAGTATTGATTTTTCAAGAGAAATCGGAGAAATTTTTTACAATTTCATAAAATGAATTTTCGAGCTTTAAACACCGATTCGGAGTCGGATTTGAATGAAATTAGTATGATTGGACTCATAATTGAATGTGTAATCGGATTTTGTGAGTTTCGTCGGGTTCTGAGACGTGGGCACCACTATTGATTTTTGAGTTGGATTTTAGATTTTTATTGGAAAATTTAGCATTTTCATATGGAATTTATTCCTACACCTCGTGTTGATTGTATCAAATTATTTGTGACTGGATACGAGGCATTCAGAGGTCAATTCGAGAGGTAAAGGCCTATTGGAATAAAAAATTGCACGATTTGAGGTAAGTAACATTTCTAAACTTGGAGGTGAGGGTATAAACCCTGAAAATACGTGTTATATGAATTGTTTGGGGGTGACGGGCGTGTGGGCGTGTACCGTAGAAACTGTGATGTAATTGATTCCGTGAAATTGTGTAGTCAAATAATCTTGGCATTGTCCATGTACTATCATGTGTTAAAGAAATCGAGCTGTGAATCATGTTAAAAATCATGTTGAGGCTATATGCCAGTATTATTGAGACATACGGAAGTCGTGTTGCTGTTGAATTATTTGTTTAAATTGTAATTTCGTACTCAGTCATATACATTCATTGCATATCATATCTCAGTCTCTGTTGTTATTTATTGATACATCATATCATCATTTTGGGCTAATTTCATGACATTGTGAGCCCGAGAGACTGAAGAGATTGATGACTGAGTGAGGCCGAGGGCCTGATTGTGAGGATAATTATGGGATCGGGCTACACACCGCATCATACCATATTGGCTTTTTATATTTTATTATTATGGGATCGGGTTGCACGCCGCAACATATTTTTATTTATTTATGCCTGGATCTGGCTTATTATAGCGCTTACGCTGAAGGAACCCCTCTGGAGTTTGCACCCCCCATAGTGAGCGCAGTGGATATTATATTTGGGATGGAGTTCCCTGGGCATGGAGTTGCCATATATATTCACTTCTGGGATGGAGTTCCCTGGGCATGAAGTTGCCTTAATCATTTATATTTTGGGATGGATCTTCCCCTAGGCATGGATCTTGCCTTAATAATTCATATTGAGGGATGGATCTTTCATG